CAAGTTATTCCCCAACTTTTTGACTTGTTTCTAATAGGCTTTTAAACCAAACGCTGTGTCTAATAAATTTTTTATTTTAAAAAGTGGGTCTCTATTTTGTTAGATATTTTTCAAAATTCAAGAATTTATTATAAACAAAATTGAAAGGTTATGGACTAGTCTTGAAAATTTTAAAAATTTATAATATATAAAGATCTATTCGACACAAAATTAAAAATTCAATATCAATTTTAATATTTTTTCTAAGTTAAAAAATTCATTAGGCACCCCATTAAAAATTTAGAAGGTCTATGCATTCTAAAAACTCATAAACCAATTATTTCACCAATCAAATATGGAAGTAAATGAAAAAAGAAAGAAAAGTTTGGGTAATTACATAGATGGACTGCAAATACTCGAAAATGAATTCATATCTAAAAATGGAGTGTAGAGACAGAGAGAGGGTAGCAGCATGATTTAGTATGGGGTCTAATAGTTATAATGCAAATCATTCATCTGTGCCAAGGAATAGTCTCCAATTTTCCAATTTTCTCCCACCGGTCCCATGCTGAATAATATTATTTTAATATTTTGGTGCCTGTACTCTTAAATATTCATTTTTAGTTACTATTCTTTTAAATTTTGCTCAATTTAATTATTGTACTAAAACATTCATTTTAGTGATCCATGTATTGTTTAAAAGTAACCAACTTGACCTTTATTTTAAAATATTTTAACACAAATTTTATATACAATGGAAACAATACCAATTCATTGTTACACTTGAAGAAAATTAACGAGTAAAATGACATGTTAAAATTACGATGGAAAGAAATGAAATAAAAATAAAATGATCACTTTTTAAAAGTACATGGACTAAAATGGATATTGCTAATGTACAAGGATTAAAATGAACGTTTGAAGAATACATGGACCAAAATGAAACGTTTTGAAAGTACATAAACGATAATCAAAGTATAGGGACCAATATAATATTAAGAAAAATTTGGTTCAAATACTATTTTGATCTCTATACTTTTAACTTGGTTCATGTACTTTCAAAATGTTTAAATAGGTCATTGTAAATTCAAAGTTGTTCATTTTTGTTGTCGTATTTAAAAAAAATGACCCTTTTGATCATTAATTTTATTTTTAATCTCATGTTTCTATCACAATTTTAACACAAACACTATATTCTAACATATTCTTTGAAATGTAATAATGACTTTATATTAAAGAGTTTATGTTATGTGTAAGAATTTGTATTTTAATTTTACAAATAGAGACCAAAATCGTCACTTGATAAAAGTACAACAACCAAAAACGAATATTTAAGCAACACCGGACTAAGATGACAAAAATTAAAAATATAAATGATCAAAATAGTATTGGATGGAGATTTTTTCTTTTAAAAAAAAAAAAGAAAAAAGAGCCGAGCATTGGGCCAAAATCATAAGCCGAGCCAACAAAGATTTTTTTTTTTGCTTTTTCCAACAAAAAGAAAAAAGAAAAAGAAAAAGGAATTTGACTGGGGTGCCACAAGGCACGTGACTATCATACGATATACAATGAGTGAGGGGAGGAGCGGGTTCACGTGTGAGAGGATATGGACCACTCTCCCATCACCAAACCAAACGCAGATCCAATTAAATTAATTGACACCCAAAACGCTCCTCTCATTTTTATTATTTCATGTCTTATACCATATCTCATAAACTATATATAATCTATAATCTATGGTTATTTTGTGTTGGACTCCTCAAATTTTGACTCAAATGTTTTTGCACCCCCAACATCCTCCCCTCCCTTCTTTGACCCCTTCTCTAATTTTCCCTTTCCTTGCAAATTAACCCCGAGATGTTTTCCCTTTAATTAACAAAGAAGGGTCAAATATATAAGAGTGAATCAAATTTGGTTATCGGGTATAAGAACGAAGTTTATTACATTTAATTACGTTATATTGTTGTTTCATTTAATTATGTATATGGTCAAATTTATGAACTTGTTAGATTATGTTAAAATTTCGATCTTTCTATAGAATGCATTTATTTATAATACCGTAGGTTATTGGAGGAGTTATGCAATGAGAATGTTATGTAACATTGGATGCTAAAGTAATATTTATGGGTCAATAATAGATCTCGTAATAGACTTCTCAATTATTAAATTGCAAAATGTATTCTACTAGGGTCGAATTTTTGGAACTAGAGATATGTAGGTACATATTAAGGGTTTCAATTATTGTAGCTTGGAAAGATTTCTCAAACTAGCCTAGATGCCAATTTATTTTGATGTGGTATAAATTCTAAAGGAAATGCGTTGGGCCTCATAAATTAAAATACTGCAACGTATGTAAAAGGTTAAAATTAACTAAAAAAATGACTGGTCAAATTTTTCCATGACATGAAACCAACTTTCTTCTTGGTGTGACAACCTCCCATTAAAATCACATAGAAGACTTTTAAAAAACCTTTTATTGAAAGGTAATAATAAATTTTGACGGTTCCATCTTTGCTATATTTAAGAATTGTAAGAATAGAATATATACTTAATTTTATTTTACGAGTTCTAATTAAATCAAGTTCATAGGAAGGCAGAGATAAGGGTACTAGTTTTAATTTTTATTCTGCCATATGATATTAACTTGTGTTAAACGATAATCATCTAACTCTACCTTTAATCATATGATAAGATGAAATGAATTATTGAAATGGAAATGTGTGGAGGGCCTTTATCTCATCAATTTCAGTTTCGTCCCTCTTTTATGCCATGTTGTCTGGTCAGTCTTTTTCCAATTGTTAGCAAAAGATTTGGCTGTCTTCTTTATGGGTTTGGTTTAAAAGTTTGGGAGTTTTTGGTAATATTAGACATTTATTAGTGAAGTTAAATATATGTGGCTGATTGTGAATTTGAGTTTTCCAATTCTCCATTCCCCAAATTGCCCTTTTCTCCAGTACCCATCACCCTCCCTTTTTTACTTTTCTTTTTTGTTGTCTTCAATTAAGTAAGAGGAAAATTTTTCATTTTTCTTTTTGCAGTTTAAAAAGCCATCTTCTTTGTGGTGGTGTTGTAGTGTTGCTTGCTGCCTTGGAGACCCATTAAACAATAAGTGCTTGATGTGGCCATGTGGGTTAGCTTCAAGAGTAAGCCAAAAGTTTTTTTTCTTTTGGGTTCAATTTTGGATCTGCTTTAATTAACAAGATCTTACAGAGGATTAATCATGTTTGAAAATTAGTTTAGTATATGATAGGCAAAAAAATGCTATTTAAGTTCTAGGTCTGTTAGTTCTATATATATTTGTACACCATAAAGTTTCATCCTTTATAATCTTTTGTTGAAGGGTCCTCAAAAAGAAAGGGGCACTCAAATCATATTCGAGATTCGATGAAAGGCAATAACTTTGCCAAAAGTTCAAAATCTAAGAGAGAGAGAGAGAGAGAGAGAATCCATTGGACCTTTGGAGACACAGAGAATCCACCAATTGGGATAGAGCATCCATTGGGCCTTGAAGTTTTGGGCCCAAACCTTCTCAATAGTCCATATAACTAGTCTCCTAATAGCCCACTTTAGACTCCAGAAGCCTGCCATGAGCAAACAAGAAAGAGAGAAGATGAAAAAAAAGCTAATACTTTATAACTATCACTTTATGACCATTAAACATATGAGAGATCGAAAGGCACTGTAAAAATATATCTCTTTTTAAAATAATACATGTTTTAGTTGGATAAAGTTTCTTGAGCTCATAATTGTTTTTGTTAAATAGCTTTAAAAGTTAGTGGCCGTACATAAATATTTTTGGGATATTGGGATAAAGATTTTGGAGTGGTGGGTGTGGTGAGCATGAAACATGTGCAAAAATTGCTATTTAAGTTGAGATATTGACATATTGCACACCATTCACAACCCATTTCATACTGCTTTTATGAAAGTTTATTATGTTATTTGTTATGTGCTTTGCCGTTAAACTATACTAGAAAATTATACTGCTTTTTGATAGCACTCTAGCTTTTTTCTTGAAAGAAAATCTAGTATTTCTCAGTTTTGAATATTTTAATAGGTCTCGTAGTTTGTTTCGAAATAAAATAATTAGAATTAAACTCCACCAATAAAGCTACGTTGATTTAAGACGAAGATATTCGTCTATCTATTTTATTTAGTTATTCAATTTACTCAATGGTTCAATATTGTAATAGCAAATAACAACAACTATTTTATCTCTCATGGGCATTTTTATTTTCAATTGAGGATTTACATTTTTATTTACTACCGTTTACATTTCATGAATGAATTTTTTTAATGTAGTGAATAATACCTCAAGTAACTCAAGCAATAGCCCACTATAGTTCCTTCTTAATTCAATATTCATAAACCTGGACTTTTCAGGTTTAATATGCCAAACCCATATCTTGATTCACTAAAAAAAATAGACAAATTAAGATGTAGGTTGAAAAGAAAAGTGGCATGGTACCATGTTGCCATTAATCCCTAAAGTAATAGAAGAAAATAAGGACAGTTCCTGTTTTTTTTTGTTCCTCGTCCTTTTTTTAATTAAAAAATATAATTGTATTGGTTAATTATGAAAGGTTCTTTATTTTTTTCATTGGAAAAAGAAGTAAATTTAGTTTTGTTGAAAATGAGAGCAAATAACATTTTTTTACAAAATTTATGTACAATTTTGAAAATGTTTCTTTTTTTCCCAAAAAGAAAGAAACCGTCAAATATTCAAAATTGTCGATAAAACTAGAAAAAAAAAACGATAACTTTAACAGACAAACGAAACTAAACGGCGAGAATTTAATATTTATAACGGGCGTTGCGTTGAATTAGTTTAGAAACGTGGACGACGCAAGGGCGGAAAAGCGCGTACGTACACGTAGAGGAACACGAAGAACCGGAGTCAGTCCGACGTGGATCTGCGTCAGCGATTATCGGAACCACTAGACTTCCACGTTATTTCCTTTTATAACCTCTGCCTGCCCCATCTCTCCACGTATTATTAAGATTTAAAGAGAGCGCTCAGTTCATAGACGGATCATCGTTTTTAGTTTTGTCCCCGTGGAACCGCGTCCCAAATTTCAGATCACATATAAATCTCTCCTTCCGCGCCTAAGCTCCTGCTCTCGAATCATCTCTTTCTCTCTCGCTCTCTCTCTGTGCTTTTTTACCAGACGCTCACCGGGGTTGCATTGTCCCGAGGAGGTTTTTTTGGAAGGTGAGCATTACCAATCTCCCTGCGTCTTCATTAATATCTGGTTATCGAACTCTGGAGGTTATTAGATGGATACGTGAAACTGTAAGGTTGCGGTTACGAAATTATCAATTTATGAGGATGCTGAATTTTTGGCGTTATTTATTTGGTTTTGGTTTTGGTTTTAGTTTGCTTCTTGTCATCGGATTATTGTTGGATTCTGAACACAAAAAGGAGAGGCTTCTTTTGGTTTTAATTTCCCTTTTGCTTCAATAGTCCTGAATTTGAATGTTATCCACTTAAGCTTCGATAGTGTCTCTCATTCCAGAATTCAGATGCTGCATATATTAACCATAACCTGATAATGAAATAGTTAAAGACTTCTCTAAATCAGATCGAGAACCCCTTTCGATCCGTCTTCATGTTTTCAATTGTTTTGAGCTACCATCAATTTTGGAATATATACATGTATTCATGCTGACATTAGATCGAAAGATAATCTAATGTCTTGTAAAATCCGTGTTTGATTATATGGTAAAAATTTCGACATCCAAGTGAGTTATTTCAAGGTTGATCTTGCTTAATTATTTTGCGGGTTGCAATTTTCCGATCGAATTTCTTTTAATTTGACTGAATTAGTATTTGCTAGGAATCATCTTCAACTCTACCATTCAAAGGTATCCATTAACAGAGAGTATAACATGTATTGATTCCTCTGCGGGCTCACAGGTTTATAGTTTTTTGAAAGCAAATTGATGGAGAATATTGAAGGTATCTGCGGAGATTTAATCCCAGCCAAGGAAAACATCGTTCCAACACCACCTCCATTGCCTGGATCTGCATTCAGTGGTCATCTGCAGAAGGGTTTGGTTTCAAGTGAATCCTTGCAAAGGGGGTACAGCTGCGTCTATACTGCAACAAGAGACCTCTGGGACAGCCTCTTTGACGAAGCCCATAGAGCAGATGCTTCTATCCATACAGATCATGGTGGCATTGTATATGCACATGCCTATATCCTCGTAAGTTTATTTAATCTCACCATTTCATAACCTAAAAGAAGTTTCCTGTCATTGTTGTTTCTTATTCAATTGGTTTTTTTTTTCCTTTCTAAAAGATGTGTCAGATTTAAGTTATATCCGTTTTTTTAAGATGAAAATTTTGCACATTTTGCATTTAGCATACCCAAAAGCAGGAAGGCTATTGCCTAACTATATCATAGTTCAATTCAATAAGTGGTTGGGTTCTCCTTATGTAATTTTGCTGCAGGGTATGGCTTCTCCTGTGATAAAAGGCATGTTAAAGCAATCAAAAAAGTCTGGTTGGAACCGGTCAATCTCGATCCGTGGAGTTCCACCTGATGCCGTGAGAGTATTTGTTAGATATCTATACTCTTGCAGGTAACTATTTTCTTGTACTGTTTCATATTTGATAGTCACTATAGATTGAGGATTTCGAACTTCAAAGCCCTATGGACTGACTTGAGAAGAAACGTCCGAGGGAACATGAACTTGGTTGTGTTTTCTGATGTATTACCATTACTACAATTTATTTCAGATACGAGAAAGAAGAAATGGAGGAATTTGTATTGCCGCTGCTGGTGCTGTCACATGTATATGTGGTTCCCCAGTTGAAGAGAGAGTGTGAGAGGCAACTGGATCGTGGTTTGCTGACAATTGAAAATGTAGTAGATGTTTTTCAGCTTGCTTTACTATGTGATGCTCCTCGTCTCAGCCTTATGTGCCACCGTATGATGATAAAAAACTTCAAGGCTATTTCTTCCACCGAAGCATGGCAAGCAATGCAGCAAAGCCACCCAGTACTCGAAAAGGAACTTCTTGAATCAGTGATCGACGAAGAAAATGTAACACCTCTCTCTCTATCTTATTTTGTCCGCTTGATATATCAAACCGTGCCTGAATACTCCAAGAGCTTAGTATGCTGGTTTTTCTAAACCAATCTTTTAAATTTTACTTCCAGAGGCAAAAGAAAAGAATTAAGAAGATAAATGAAAGGAAGATCTACTCGGAACTATTTGAGGCAATGGAGGCTCTTGTTCATATATGTAGAGATGGTTGTCGTACAATAGGCCCACATGACAAGGACTTTAAGGTGAACCAGCCGCCATGTAAATATGCAGCCTGCAAGGGGCTGGAATTGCTTATCCGCCATTTTGCAGGCTGCAAACTGAGAGCCCCTGGTGGTTGCACCCAATGCAAGAGAATGTGGCAACTCTTGGAGTTGCACTCTCATCTTTGTGCAGATTCTGATCTCTGTGAAGTCCCGTTGTGCAGGTAATTTATCAAAATCTGTCTCCTCTTTTTCCATCCTTCTTCGTTGTTAGCTTTTTTGGAAATCATTGTAGAAATAGTTGAATTCACCTAACTAGAATGCTCCGTGATTTCAGGAATTTTAAGGACAGGACGAGGAATCAGGGCAGGAAAGATGAAATTAAATGGAAATTGTTAGTAAAAAATATTCTGAGGACGAAGGGAATAGCAAGAGCACCATTCTTTTCGACGATAGAAACCGTATCTAAATGAGGAAAAGAAGACTAGTATTCTTTTGTATAAACATTCAATCTGTAAATTTTCCCCCCATTTGATTGCGCATTTGCATTCTCTGTACATCACAGATTCAAGAAATGAAAACAAAGAGTTATTTAGTACAAATCTCGGTGTTATCAGTTCGCCTCGAAAAATTGAAGAATTAAACAACTCAACAAAATTGAACTCTTGCAATTCCTTCTTTCTCAACTAAAATAGCTCTGGAACAAACCATTGGGGGCAGTAGAGTAAACTAATGAACTCTGGTTTCATACTCAAACCTGATGCAAATTTAGAAATTGTGGCCTCTTGGGAGAAATGGGATCTCATGGAGGCTATAATGGTGTCGTCGGAGGAGGGGTTGGTGGAGGCGGCGGTGGAGACGCCGCCGGCCGTCGCTGATCCTGTTTTATCAATGAATCCTCTAAATATGATAGAGGAGAAGAAGTTCCTCTGGCTTGAACAACGGGCGATTTGAAGTGAGCTTCTTTTTCGCTGAAGGAAACTGCCGCGGACCACTCCGGCGTATGAAATACTGTTTCTCTGCTCTCCTCGTCGGAGAATGGCGTCTCAAATGATGGGTTTTGGATATGATTTTGAGAGAGAGGAGGCAGTGGTTGCAACTCAGGGCTAGGAAGGTGAGAGCGGAACTCTAATTTCTTCACAGAATCCAGCCGGCGACGCAGCGGAGATTCATCTTCTCTATTTGCACCCTCCAGCTCGACGACCGAGCACGGCCTCCGCTCCACGGTTCCGATATTCAAGAAACTCGATCGTGGAATTCCAGAATCGTGCCGAAAACTCAGCGAATGTTCCTTCTCGACAAGCAATCGAGACTTGAATCGGTACTTAATTCGCTGCCGGTACAAAAAGAAGGCGAGCGCCGAGAGCATTCCCAAAGTCACAATGGCGACGGAGCACACAATAGCCAGAGATTTGATCGGCTTAAAAGGCTGCTGCGTCGACGACGGTAGAGTTGGGAGAGTGACATTGGAAGGGGCAGGCGTAGGCTGGTCGGAATTTACAGAAGCCGGCGGCGACGGTGACGGTGGCGACACGAATGTTCCAGGATCCAATGGCTGGTGCAGACTTCTTCTCCGACTATCGCCATTGACGCGGGGATCAATGAAAACAATCAACAATTTTAGGCTGAGAATGAAGATGAGGTAAGAAGCTTTCATGGCGGATAATTAGGATTTGTCTACGTTCTCTCTTCGGGAGGGTTCAGAACACTAAAGTTATTAATTATGGGTTCTTGTGAGGACCCAGAGAAAAAATAATTAAAAATTTTTTTAGACAGACTAAAAAATATCAACTCTTAAATTGTTTAAGAGAGTGATCAAATGATCTACGAAATATTTTCTTTTTGTTTTTTGTTAATCTACTTTGATAATTTTAAAATTAGAGAGTCAACCCAAGACATTGCATCAATGGGATGAAAACTTACCATATTAGTTGTCATTAAATTACGATAAAACAAATTATACTGTAAGCATCATTGTGAATATGTGATCAAATTTTTTTCTTCTACAATTGTAAAAAGAAGAAAAAAAAAAGAGGTGGGACAAGATGAAAACAGACAACTACACCAAAATTAAATTTAAATCTAGACTCTAGAACTATCTAACTATTTTTTTAATACCACAAATGTTTTATAACTATTGATCTTAAGGAAAATAATTAATATCTTATTTATTGGATTAATTAACAATGGTTGCTTAATTGAAGGTTAAATTTTTAGAAGGCAACTAGATTTGTTTGACCAGAAAAGGGAAATTAACAACTGTTGCACTATTTTTTATTTTTTTAGTTGGCACGTTTGAAGAATTAAACTTTAGAAAGTAAACAAAAGAAGAAGAAAATTAAATTGGGTAATTTTGCCCAGTTCTCTCTGGCCTGCCACGTGGCCTCTTAGTAACCTCGTCAAAATTGAAATTGAAAGGGAAGTTGTCTAATGCGAAGTGATTTTCAAAGCCTCATTGAAGAACGTGCAACTTTATTTTATTCACAAAGGACAATAGGGCACTTAAAAAATAGAAAAAATGTATTATTAAATTAGCTTACAAATTAAAAAATAGTATGTTAGATGGATAGCGACGTCAATATAAAAGTCTATAGCAACTTCAAAGTTCAAACCTATAGAAATCATTAATGTTATAAAAATGTATGGTGAATGAAATGGGAGTTACTTCCTTGTTTAGGATTACATAATACATAATTCATTTCTAGCTACATAAGATTTCAAATTTCATAAACTCTCAACATGAATATATTATTATATAAGTTTTTTAAACGACAATCGTTTTAGTCATTGCCTTTTACTATAAAATTCATCGCTCGGTTTCTTTTTCCTTTTCATATTGACATAAAATAAACTTTAATCAACGTAATCAAAATTCTTGTTCTCAGCCTCATTTTAATTTCATCTCATCCCCTGACTTATCTCAACCACGATACATGCCTGCTAAATCATCTATTCAAAGCCATGTTAACTTGTCTAAGAAAGAAATACGTTTTATTTTTTTTAAAATATTTTTTTGGTGTGTTTTGTGCAGGCAGGAAGAGGAGTCTACAAAGCATCTCTCTATTTGGTATGCCCTTGCCCTTTAGTTGGTGGTTGGGAGGCCCAGCTTTGGAAACGAAGCCCAAAACGGAAGAATGGGCCAAGGTGGTAGTTGGTATTGGGCTTAGAGAAAGAATGGGCTGGGCCTGGATAGAGGAAGGAGGAAGAAAATAAATAAAAATAAAAAAGGGAGTGGGGTATTTGCATTATTAAAATAGAAAAGTGAGGGGGGGAGCATGATGGAAAGTTGAAAAAGAAGGGAGTGAGAACAACGAAAGAGACACATGTTTTTGTTTTTGTCTGTTTTGTTGTTTCTGATTCCCAATCCATTTCCAATTCATACGTCTTTTTCCCTCTCCCCTCTGCCTTAACCTTATTTCTTTTTTTCTTTTTTTTTTTTATATATATAAAATAATTATTGTATACTAAACTATAAAGTTCACTCGGATTTGACTTGGATCACACAACTTTATTTCCACCTCTCATTACGACCCCTACACAAAAAAGAAAAATCCCACTACAATCATTCTAAAACATAAATAAAAATAAAAATCATGCATAGATCTACTTTTGAAGCCATATAAGAGTTTCTGGGGTTTTTTTTTTCTTTTACCATTTCTCATTTTAATGTTCTCATGTAACATTTATTTTAAAGAGAACCTGAGCACAAGTTTTGTTAAGCTGTATTTGTTTTCATATAATAATATATAGAAATCTGAATGGGAAGTGGGAGTGTGGAGATGAGATGAGGCTACAAACCTAAGAACTGATTGGGCAAAAGGTAATTATCTCATTACCTGTGCCATGCACCTCTGTTTGTCCCCTCTCTCTCTCTCTCTCTCTCTCTCTTCCAATTGAAAGAATAATATAAGAAAACTTTCTCCAATGCCTTCATTCAATGTGGGCTTTTCATTAAAAACTAAGAGAGAGAGAGAAGAATTGTGAATTGTGTTGGGAGTGGGAGAATAATATAAGACCATGCATCCATGTTCATGATTCTTTTTGATACTTGCCCACTCTTACAAATAAAAAGCTGATAAAATAAAAGAGAACCTAATCTCTTCACCAGTCCTCTCCTATACTACCTTTTGCCTTTTGGACCACTTTAATCTCTTGATGGGTAATATAAGGAAAAGAAGAGAGATTTTTGAGATTGTTATTCATGATTAGAGGAGGGTGTGGAATGAAGGAATTGGGGGGAGTGTTAGGCACGTGGGTTCATAATTTGATATGATATATGATAATTATTATTGAGAGGTTTAACTTGTTTTACTGTTTCTAATTGGCTTCAACTTTTTGGTATTTTTGTAAGTGCTTTGCTGAGGAGTTGTTGTTGTGTACCAAATTTTCTGCTCAAATCCAGGCTTTATTTTTTTGGTTGGGAGTACCAAAACAGAGCCACCATTTTCTGAATTTCTCATCTCACTTCCATGATCTTTATTATTCACACCAATACTCAACTCTTCTTTCTTCTCACACCCAATACTGCCGCCTGCTTTTACATCTCCACTGTCTTATTACGTCATTATAACAACAAATTAAAAAAAAAAAATCATCTAACTTAAACTTTTGGGTTYATTGGTCGTTTAATCATGTTTAAGATGATATCAAAGCAAGATATCATTTATTGTCATTTCCTCTCCATTTATATTCATTTATACTTGTTGGATCTTGTGCAATTTTTTAAACCCACAAATGAGGGAAGTGTTTGTTGTTTAAGACAAACTTTTAAAAATTACCCAAAATTCTCACAACAAAAACACTTAAAATCTCATGAACAATGAAATGCAGTCACAAAAATCACATGCTTAAATTTGACTAATTAAGCTAAGTAGAGGAATTTAAGTGTGTAAAAAAATTTTTTTTTTAGTTTTATGTTTGACTTGTTACTCTATTGTTTGGACGGATCTTTTTCCTCTTTAGATAAACTATATATATACACACAATTATGCACTGAAATAAAATGAGGCGGGAGGTTTCTATAAGTAGAGCTTCCGACAAGCCTCCAACGACTCTCCGACAACCCAAGAATCGTGGCGTGTTGTCGTGGATTTTGTTGGAGATTTGTGTGTGCGAAAGTAAATATAGTTCGACTCGACTGATATGTTAGGTGTCCTAAGTGTGAGACTTTGGTCGGCTTGACGTGGAATGTGGGTCACGATTATCTCCTGTAATTCAGCTCTATCTTTACAAAGGTTCGAGCTACATCTTCTTTCAGGTGTCAGTGTTGGCTCATCACTATTGAACATATAGAATGTCATCACATGGCTGATGAGAAATCACCTTGAAAACATCCTACTTGTAACTTTGGTCAATTTTAGTAGTTATTTATTTTTAAAAGGGATTATTTTAATATTTATTTACAAAGTTCTAATTCAAATTATGATGTAAGGTTGATAAATATTTTGTTGATGACTAAATGATCATTTTTTAATGTATAGAGATCAAAATAGACAAAGTTAAAATAGAGGGATCGATGTAAACGAAATTATTATAAGATAAGGTTGGGTGGTGCTTGCAAAAATCACATGTTATAGGCACATGACTTTGGTTTAAAGTTTGAACACGAAAAAACACAAATGTCGTTTTCATCTTCAAGTGGGTATACTTATGAATGTCATTGAGATTCTAAATGTCAAAATTAACATGAACCACCCAATTAAAAAAAAAAAAAGAATTTACTGTAATTTGTAATACTTAATTAAGATTTCCCATTAACCTTCCTTAGGAGTTTTCATTATTATTATTGTTATTTTTTGCATGGCTCCTACATAATGCCACTTTCCATGTGCATATATCATCATATGGAAAAAAAAGAAAAAAAAAAAGATTGATTTTTAAATACCATCTCTTAAAAAGACCAATTTTTTAAAAGCAAAAAGGTCTTTCCATCCAAAAAAAGATAACTGTATTTTCAAAAGGTATTAAATCTCGACATTAAAGAAGAGCATTTTATAATATTCATATATAAGCACTTCCTTAAAACTAAAAGTACGTCCTTTTCCTTTTATAAGAAAAAAATAAAAAGTAGATTAAAGAAAAGTGCAGAAAGAAGAGGAAGAAGAAGAAGAAGAAGAAGAAGAAAGGGGAAGATAGGGTTCATCATTTGAATTTGCAGAAACCTTATAATTAAAGAAATAAATTAAAAATGAAAAAGAAAAAGAGAGAAAAAATGAATAGCAAATCTTGGAGGTAATGATGGCGAACAATGGGCATCGCATCATTCATTGAATCTGCAATTTGCCATCACACAGTTTCAAGCTTCAAGGCGTCAGACTCAGAACCCTAAAACTAAAATATTATTATTATAACCCTTTTTTTTTTTTAATCTCATCATTCCCTCCCCCCATCTTTTCTTATTTCTATTTCCGACCCTGTTTCCTGAATATTTCTCTCTAATGTTTTTTTCAAGACATTAGGAAAAAAACGATCTTACTTTTATTTTTTATTTTTTTTATATGTACTGCAAGTCTGTAAACAATCTCACTTTTATTAAAAAATACGTCTGAATAATTTATTAATTTTAGTGGATGAGAATATGGCGATACACATATTTTATTTAAATTGCCACGTGTTGAATGAGAAATTAAAGTCTACTCCACAATCTATAGTTTATTTAATTTTGTGAATAAATACTTTTCTTAGAGGCAACCAAGACTTCAGCTTCGTAACTTTATTAGATGTAGACTCTCTTTTCCAAAAAAAAAAAGGACTCTCTCCATTAACGACATATATTTTTTCTTCCAAATTAATATCTGATATGATAATGTTGTTATTTTTTGTTTTTCAAAATTCAGCTACATCTTAATCATTATTATCTTTCGACCTCTTTAATTATAAATTTCTATTCATGTCATAATTTTGATATGTTTTTTCTTAAATATCCTAACTTTTTTCGTTTCAAATATAATATAAATCTGTCATTTTCATGTGTTTTATCTCTGACTTTGATTTAGATTATATTTATGATAAAATTGTAAGTATTTTGCTTATTTAAAAAAATATATCTTTTAATTTTATTTACGTACATGTTTTTATAATGATTTTAGTTATTTCATTTGCTGTCTTAGTTGAGTATACTAAGATTTAAGGATGAAAAAAATGGGTGGATGTAATTTTAAAATTTGAACTGGGCTATAGGATCGAAAGCGAAAATCTTAAAATCATTGAAAGAAAATTGTGATTTTGACTAAGAAAAAGTCTAAAAAACATGACCGAATTGATAATTTACTTCTAAAATATCTTCCACATCTTGGGAATAAAAATTTAAACTTTTGATCATAAAAAGTAAAAAAAGGAAAAAAAAAAAAGTCAAGAATGAACCAGTAATTTACATATTGGCCGCAGAAAAAGAAAAAGAAAAAGAAAAAGAAGAAGAAAAAGAGGAATGAGGGGAAAAGATGAAGAGGAGGGAGAGGGAGGAAAAACTGGTCCGATCCAACAAATTAAAGGAATCCATTTTTGCTTTTTCTTTTGTTCAGTGCGACAAAATAATAAAACAGAGGAGAAAAAAGAAAAGGGGGAAAAAAGGAAGGAGAGAGATAGGATTATGATGAAAGGCAAAGGCAAAGCGGAGTAGAGAAGGGGAAGGAGAAGGGGGGTCGTTTTCTGGTAAATAGTGCTCTTGGTTTGCTTTCCCTGAACACATTCGCACAAAGACATGTACTGAGACGAAATTGATAGGGGCGACTCAGCTTATTGTAGTCCCTCAAGGGGGCAGCAAAGTTATGGCTGTCAGATTAGCGTGCAATTTTTATTGTTCAAAAGGAAAACAGTGGGGGCCTCATGGGTCTCTTCTCTTTCTCAAACAAACTCCACACCCCTTTTTCTTTTTCATTTTCGTTTTCATCTCCGTTCTGGTTTGCCCAATTCGGGGTTTTGAGTAATTTCCCCCCTCCAAAGATTTCTCGGTGGTGGGGGCGGTGGTGCTGATTCAGAGGGAGAGGGAACATTCTGGGGTTGGCCTTTTGTGTTTGTGTAGCTGTGGTGGCTGTCAAACATGAGGCACAGCTCATATTTCTGATGGGTGGCCTTTACTTTTCTTTCTCTCTACTTTGTGGGGTTCTCTGCGGATACGAGTGCTCGCCTCTGTGAATGTGAACATTGTTTCTGATTGTTGTGCCCATCGATATTTGATTCTTCGTGCTTGCCAAAGTGAATAAAGCAATACCCAAACCCAACCTCTGATCTCTCGTCCTTTTTAGGTAAGCTACTCTCTCATCCACTTCTTTGTCTATTTTCTTTCTTTAAATTTATCTTCTTACTGTTGTATTCTTGCGTTTTTCCCTGATTCGGCTCTGTTTGCTTTCCTTCTACTTGGTTCCATCTCTCAGTCCAGCCCCATTTTTTTTCTTTTACTGTTTTCTTCTCCTGGGGTTTTCCAAATCACCAACTTCTTCAGCTCCCACTTGCTTAGTAAGTGGTCTCTGTTGTTTTATGTCTTGCATTCATTTGAACCTGAGAAATAAATATCCTGATTCTTTCATCCATGCGATTCTCTTGATTTCTTCATCCCAATTTTAGTTGGAATCTCGTGGTCTCATGTTGGAGTCTTTAATTCTAACAACTTGGGTGTGCCTGAACTTGAGACATAAATTCTATTCTTGTGGTTAATTTCAGCTTACAATGGACGATTCTCTTTCTTTGCAGTTGCAGGTGTTGATGAGCTTTCAAATCAAGTTGAGAAGATCAGAAAAGACTTAAGAAAGACGTTGGAACAGGGGATTTTGAGTTGTGAAACTCTGTGGACTGGGAAGGATCTTTTGGTTTTTGACCCATTGGAAAGGAAAGGAAAGGGAAGGAAGGGGAAAAAGTAAAATAAAAAACCAACAAGGAAGACAAAATCTAGAGGGGAAGGATAAAGAAATAAGGGAAAGGACGGTGGTGTCAGGTATTAGGCAAGTGGGGGTGTCTCCAGCTTTGCGAATTATATACGTTTTTAGAGTGTTTTCTTAGTAATGTCACACCCATTCGACCCTCTATCCCCGGGGTCCTTGGGAAGTGTTACTCATTGAGGAAGCAATCTCTTAATTTACAACTTTTTTCAGTTTCAGTGTGTGTGATTCTTTAATTACAAAACCCCACTCTCTCCCTCTCATCACTTTGAAGAAAATATTCGGTCACACTAGGGAAAACCCCCAAGATTTCCTTGTTCATTTGATATCTTCAACATAAGAGATCGGGTTGAGCTCCGGTGTTTCGTCCCACTTCTTTGGTTTGTCTTCTATTTACGGGTTTGCTGTGGATTGACATCAAGAATATTGAAGCAGAGAAAGAAAACAGAAACTCAGATCCATTTTCTTGATCAAGAACATGAAGTTTATGAAACTTGGATCCAAGTCTGATGCATTTCAGACTGATGGGGATAAAATTAGGTGAGACATATCTCCTCTTTTTATTAGCCTTTCATGTGTTTTTTATTCTACATACCCCAGTGATGGGGTCACCGTTGGATGTTATATTGCAACAGACTGTTAATCAATCATTGTGTAGTGAGTGTAGGTTCRTCACCAACTTTTCCTAGTTTCTCATTTTCAGTATTTAGGCGATGTTCTTTTTGCTAAAAGAAAAATATTCCTAAGTCTRTTAATCAAACATTAAATTGCACGTTTCCACGACAAGTCTCAATTTTCATCTAGGAGAAACCTCAACAACATAAAGAGTTATGTGTGTATTTGTAACAGTCGTAACTCATTGATGAAGAGATTCTGCGTTCTGCCAGTCTAAGTGTGTTCTGGAGTTTTAAATATTAAAGTGAAATTCTGGGCCAGAGGAAGCTAGTTGTCTTAGGACTCATAGGAGCAATCCTKTTCTACTTCCAATCAATTTTGTTTGGGAATTTCTTGTTTTTTTATCTAATCTTTTTTGGGTATGGGATAACAGACTCTCCAAAGGCCTATATCAAACCAAAAATCTGGTAAATAAGCCATTTTCTTTTGGCTTATACAAATTGTAAGCTCTTATTGCTGGCTAATGGAAGATACGAGTTTCTTTTGACTGCTTTGATTTTAGATTCCTTGAAACTTCATAAAAATGAAGACATCCATTTCAGGTCTATGTTCCAGGGTTTTCAAACTTACTTCAATGAGATTTGAAATCATTCTTGTTTCTTCAGGTATGTGGCGAACGAGCTAGCAACTGACATCGTTGTCAACGTTGGAGATGTGAAGTTTTATCTGCATAAGGTATGGATCTGGTTTATCTTTTTATTTCAGAGGCAGTGATCTTGTTGAATAACCTAAGCCCATAAAGAGTATAATTGAGAGACTGAATTGTCAAGGTCCACACTGTGTCACTGTCTAGCACATTTATTATATATATGCTTAGATGACAAATGAAAGCTTGGTTCCTTAAGTTGCAAATAACTATATCTAAATTTATTTATTGATGAAGATTTTTAGGGGATATATATATWTTTTTTAATTTGATAAAATTATATATAATAYGAAACATATTCCAAGGGTGTGACATGATAATTAATTCGGCCTATTTTCATTTCTAGACATGATAATTTTGCTTTATTGCCCTTATTTCTATCTTAGAAGCTATGGAGAACTTTAGCAGATTAACTTTTGCATATTTATGTGTAAGATTGTTAATTTTCTTTCGCAGCAAAAGTATATCGAAAATTAAAGATCAATGCCGAACATTATTCACCCTTCTTAAGAGGACRAATGTGATGCTTGTGATTTTAACCGGTTGAAAAGTAATTATTAGAAGTAAATTACAAGTACAAATTACTTCTTTTCTAAAATTAAGAACATAGATATTGAAACATTAAGCCCATTTGTGTAACACGTTCACCTAATTGCTTGCAGTATTTGAGGACTGACATTTCAGTCTTATAAGCTTTAGAGGCWATAGGTTTAGAAGCTCAAAGTTACATTCTTAGAAAGAATTTAGTTCTTGTTTTTAAACGTTGTATTAATACCATGTAGCATTCTCATTTCYGTAGTTTCCGCTTCTGTCGAAAAGTGCGCGGTTGCAGAAATTAGTCACTCAGTCAAATGAAGAGAATAGTGACGAAATCCATATCCTGGATATACCAGGTGGACCGGCCGGTTTCGAAATCTGTGCTAAGTTCTGTTATGGCATGGTTGTCACTCTCAATGCCTACAATGTCGTTGCTGCTAGATGTGCGGCCGAGTATCTAGAGATGTATGAAACTGTTGAGAAAGGAAATCTCATCTACAAGATCGAAGTCTTTCTCAACTCAAGCATCTTCAGAAGCTGGAAGGACTCGATAATTGTTCTTCAGACAACAAAGTCTCTTCTTCCATGGTCTGAGGAGCTTAAGGTGGTGAGTCACTGCCTTGATTCCATAGCTTCCAAGTCTTGCATTGAGACTTCGAAGGTCGAATGGTCATACACCTACAACCGAAAGAAGCTGCCATCTGAAAATGGGGATGATTCTCATTGGAATGGTGTGAGAACGCAAAAGCTTGTTCCTAAAGACTGGTGGGTTGAAGACCTCTGCGAGCTTCAAGTAGATTTATACAAGCGAGTAATAACCACAATTAMATCGAGGGGTAAAATCAGTGGCGACGTAATTGGGGAAGCTTTAAAAGCATATGCCTCGCGGAGGTTACCTGGGTTTTCTAAAGGTAYGGTTCAGGGGGGTGATATTGCAAAAAATAGACTACTGGTGGGCACAATAGTACAGCTACTTCCCACAGGGAAGGGGGAAGTCTCCTGTAACTTCTTGCTTAAGTTGTTAAGGGCAGTGATTCTGCTGGATTGTGGAGAGATGGGAAAACTTGAACTGATGAAAAGAATTGGTCAGCAGCTAGATGAGGCCACAGTGGCTGATCTTTTGGTTCGAGCTCCTGCCGGTGAAACAATGATATACGATGTTGACATGGTCCAAAACCTTGTCGAGGAATTTGTGGCACAGGTGCAGAATGTCCACACTGATCTCCACATGGAAAATGAATACCATGARATTAGAAGTCCAAAGTTTATTTCTGATGCTTCCAAGTTGATGGTTGCAAAGCTGGTTGATGGCTATCTTGCAGAAGTTGCTCGCGATCCTAACTTACAACTATCAAGATTTATCTGTCTTGCTGAATCAGTATCAAGCTTCTCCAGACCATCTCATGATGGACTGTACCGGGCCATCGATATGTATCTGAAGGTATGTTTTACACTCATTTTGTGTCAAGCAACTACATTATCCTTTGAACGATGTTAACATGAACTTGATTTTGTATCACTGCAGGAACACCCTGGAATCAGCAAGAGCGAGCGGAAGAAAATATGTCGATTGATGGACTGCAGAAAATTGTCCCCCGATGCGTGTATGCATGCTGTGCAAAACGAGCGGCTTCCTTTGCGCGTCGTTGTTCAGGTTCTTTTCTTTGAACAAATGAGAGCCTCAGCAGCATCAGCTGGTGACAGCACGCCGGATCTACCGAGTTCAATTAGGGCCTTACTCCCTGGAGGGGGATCTCATGGAAGCTCGAGGTCTACCACGACGAACACTGAGGACGACTGGGATTCTGTTCCAACTATTGAAGAAATAAGGGCGTTAAAAGGGGAGCTCGCCGCTCTGAAGCTAGGAAGTGGGGATAGAACTGGAAGCGACAGTGCTAGAAACAACCTCGAAAGGGCTGCAGGGAATAAAATGAAGGGCATGCTCATATCAAAGAAGATATTTTCGAAACTCTGGTCGAACAAAGAGAGGAACGGAGAGATCAGTAGCTCCGAGACATCAGAAAGCCCGGGTTCTTCAAATGCAGAGGAAACGAAGTCGACCCCCTCAAGAAGCCAGAGGCATTCGATATCATAATTCTACAAATGTAGTAATTGTTAATTTTTTTGCTGGCAATCTGTAAAATTTTTCTCAAATCTTTTGACAGTTAGAACAAGTAGAATCCACTGACATATTCCACCATGACAAAGGAGAATTTGGTCGTATGCTGTGCATGTACAAGGTAAGCTCCTACTCCTAGGTCGGGGTCTCTGTTTTTTCTTACAGTTGAATTCTTGTAAGAATTGTTGGTCTGTATGTTTTTGTTTTATGGGTCGTTCGGTTATATTTTTGTTGTACCATAAATCAGAACGTAGTGAGGAATGTCAGAGACTGCTTTATTGGGATTTTGGGTGGTGCTGCTGGTCCTCTTCTTTATGTGACATTACAAAACAAAATTCACTCAAGGACATGCTCTGTACAGTATTTGCAGTTGTATTTTGGATTAAAAATCAATTTAGACCCATTTAAGGATCCAACATCATTGATCAAAGTTAATCAAATTAATTTCAACTTCAGCAACTCAACAAGTTAAACGTGTCTGAAGGTATCTCAAAATAATTTAGCTAAAGTACTATAATTATAAGCAGTCGTTGTACACATTTAAAAGTGTTTTTAAATGCTTCCCTTGCAATCACTATAGTTAAAGCACCCTATGAGTGTAAGGAAGCGATTTTCAATTTTTTTTAAGTATTTGTAAATCACTTCTAAATACGATGAGTTTTGATGATAAACATATGTTAAAAACACTCGAAAATATGATCGTTATAGGTTGAAAGTTCATACCCTCTCATTCATATTTGTGTCGTTATATTCTCCGAACCAGCCAAATCAACACGGATCAATCATATTTGTGTCGTTATATTCTCCGAACCAGCCAAATCAACACGGATCAATCAAAGGAAAAAAAAAAAAAATCAAAATATTGAGAGATAAGATAAAAAAATAAAAGAAAAGATTTGAAACAAAATACAGGTCCCCCTACCCTATAGTGTAGGTTACCATCAGTGCCAAAACTACACACACTTTACAGATTCCCCATATTCAAAAGGTAAAGGAAAAGGACTTCAGTGGGACTGATCCATTGTTTTTTTTAAAATATCATATATCACATCAAAGAAAACACTGCCTATCATATTATTCTTCCTTAGTAGAGGTAAATCTAGTCAATCTTAAGGTTAAATTATTTGGATTTGAAGCCTTAATTTATGCCTATTTGGCAATATCCTTAATTCACTATTTTAAAACATGTAGTGGAAACTAACAAATACCAACCAAACTTTGACCCAACAATGTGAAACCACCATTCACTTGTTTCTTATTTACTTTCTCCTACCATTGACCCAATATGCCCAATTTCTTCTTCCAAAAAAAAATTAAAAAGAAGAAGAACAACAACAAGGAGACTCCTTTGGATTCTAAATAAACCATCCTAAACTAAAAGTTCAAATATCTTTTCATATGAATACGGTCTGATAATTGATTCAATTTGGTTTTGAATATTTGAAGATCTATTGACTTTATTCACTTGCAAATATCTCATACATAAATATATGCTATTTTTCTAATAAATTTTTTTAATGAAAATTATTTTAACTAAAAAATTTAAGTCATATTGGATCACGATTTTATTTTTAGTTTTCTATTTTTAAAATTTATGTTGGTTCTTCTAATAATTTCATTAATACATTTTCACCTTCTTAAAAATACTTAAATTTGAAAAACAAAAATAATTTTTTTAATTTACCAAATTAAAGGATAATAATATATTTTAATCTAACGAAATGTTTTCTTGTAAGCATGTTTAAAACATCATGTTCACTTTACCAATAAACTAATTTATAAGTTAAAAATGAAAATAATTATGAGACGTTTAAGGTAGAAATTTTCTTAATCAACTTGCAAATACTTTAATTATAAATGACGAACTTAAAAGACTATTTAACATCTACAATTTTTGTTTTTTTTTTTTTTTAGAATGGATTGCAATTTGCAACAAAATAATAAAAACTTTTTTTGCTTTTTAAGTTGTATCATTAAATTCCTTTCTGGTTATTAATTTAATTATTTTATTTTTAGAATAATATAAGTAAAGACATGCAATAATATTAGAGTATTTTAATGGGAGGGAAATGGAGTGAAGGCATCCAAATATGGGAATAGTAAACTCATCTGAAAGAGAAAAAACGAGAGTCAAACTTTGGGTTTAATTATTGAAATTACCTAATCCAAAAGTTTAGTGCCCGACTGACTTTGTCTTTATATGTAGTTTAACATTAATCAATTATCCACTTTTACCCGTCATATTATTTAGACTTCCGCAACATATATTATATATTATAATGCATGCTTGTGAGATATTTGGAGCATACTATAAAATTTAATTAATTAAATAATATTTGTGCTAACTTTTCTGAGCGTTTCCTGGAAACATTTTGGAAGGGAAATGATGTGCTTACCAAGTAAAAAGCAAGTGATTAATTGTCAACAATTTCTACTTTTTAGACCTTGACTGCTCACAATACCACAATATTATATCTGGATATGAAGTTAGAATTTCAGTAAAAGAAGAATAAATCACAGTCAAGTCAAATAAATATTATACTATAAGCTGCTTATCTTATACAACACTATTGGTATATACCCTACATTTTTCTTTTTTTTTTTGGATATATATTTTGTGAAAATATTTTGAAACGTGCGTGGAGTGTCGGTTATGCATTATGAATCTATTTATTATGCGAGAATGGGTCGATTTTACTCTTAAGAGAAAAAAGAATATTATCTTATYGTGTTATAATATGAAGTAACTTGTATGGATTTGATTTTACCAAATATCATTTTCAACCTTCAAGAATGAAGAATACAAGCACTTGAGGAAAAAGGGCGGAGAGCCTTCACAATCCCATCAATTTGYTATCTTAGCCAAATCTCTTACTTTATGAATCATATATCCATTTAATAATGGTTATTAGTGGCTTTTTCCGTGACAACTTTTTAATTCTCTCTTCSTTTGTAAATTTTCTAAATATATATTTTTAGTATTTATTTTAATTTTAGATGATGTATTAATGTCAAAGTCATGTAATCAYACTTCAATGAACAGAACATTAAATGAATTTAGACGAGAATTGAAAGTAAATTTTAGGAAATATTGTTGAAAGGGAGGGGTTGGGAAAATGTCACGCACGCACGCACCCATATCTTCACCCACTTCAAATAACTGATGATAGATTCAAACGTGCATGACATTCCATGGGTGTGGGAGCAACTTCCCGCTCATGTCGGCAATAGCATAAGTGTCAGGATGCAGGACGTCTCTAATGTGTTATGGCCCTTCCCAAAAGGACTCGACCACGCTAGCGTGCTCGAGGATTTTTCGCAAGACGAGATATCCAGGTCCGAAGCTACAAAATAGCCACGCCTCTAGATCCTTCTTGAATGAAAGACAATGACAAGATGGGGAGTGTTCCTTAAAACTAGGGTAGCACTTGGAAGCTGTATGGAYGCTRTGAAAAACTAATGTGATGAGTTACTGCACAGTCACAGGTGCTAGGGCATTCGGATGGCCTTTAGCTCGAGCATAGATGCTCTATTTCGACACTTTCCAGCRGCACTCTCAGCAGACGTGGTGGCATTTCGATTGTCCGTTCTAAATTCTACAATTCMTGTTCAAAACACCAAGGATTAAGCGTAATTCATTCAAATTGTGAAAATTGAGAATTCTAACMGCTTAGGACCCTARCTAGATGATTTCTACTTTTTTCATGATATTTTAATGAGAACCCTCACATTTTCGCACTTATATAACCCAATTTAGGCCACGAAACACTCTCTTTTAGGGAGTTATCACCCATCTGCATTTGTGATCCTCGGATCTCAGATGTAAGCCCCACTTGATAATTTTGTTAATGGCTTCAACCTGCCCAATTCACCTGCGTGCAGATGTGTCAGGGATGAGCTCAAATGCTTTATCCCAAGCTTGATGCAAAACTCRTTGATCTTGGAGCTGTCAAACTGCTTTCCATTATCAGTGATAATGATGTATGRAATGCCAAAATGGCAAACMATGTTCGTCCATACAAAATTTGGGATCTTGGCCTTGGTAATGGTGGCCAGCAACTCTACTTTTGCCCACTTGGTGAAATAGTCGATAGTCACCGTCACAAACTTGGTTTGATCTCAATCATGTCCTATAGGTAGGGGCTAATCATGTTGATACCTCATTGAACGAAATACCACAAGCTGGAGATCGAGGTGAGAAGCTCGAGCGTCTGGTGGATCGACGTAGGAAAACCCCAAGCATCGGTCACAGAAGTGGGTGAATGCTTTGGTCTCTTGGTTCATGGTTGCCCAATAGTAGCCTTGCYTGACCAACTTAATAGCCATAAAGCTGCCCTCGAAATGATTGCCACATATCCTTTTGTGGACTTCTCGCATAGCATAATCAGCATCATTGGTGTCGTGGCACCTTGATTTCCATTATTTTCAAGGGTAAAAGAAGCTAGTTAGGTGCTATTTTCTATTATTCTACACTCAGAAACCGTGTTTTAAGCTTACTTTAGTGCCCAAAACCTTTAATTGTGATTTCTCTTGGGTTATAAATGCATATATAATATTTTTATAACATTTAGAGTTGAKTTATAACAAAAATTACGATTTTGTGCAGGAAGTTACCAAGCAGGCGCCTAATGCTTTGGCAAATATCGAGATTGCCCTTAATGTGAAACGAACATTTTACTGTGTTCGACAGCTTCTCSTAACCCSTCCACGTGTCTTCCATGCAGAAAAGGAAAAAGTCAAATCAATAACAAATTAAGTTTAAGAAGTTTTGAAGGGATGACTCCCCACGAGATGCTCAACTCTCTAAGTTGTTTTCACTTCCTTTACCATTTTAATTTGTTTTAAAAAAGTTGAGATTAATTTGGCCAATTAAAATTTTAACCAAAAATCAATTCTCGAAACGTTAATATATTTCTACAACTTAAGTGATTTAATTTTGGAGAGAAAGACTTTAGACATAAAGATTTCGTTCAAGTAGCCTAGACATAGGACCTCGACCAAAGTTATGGTTGGTTCTTATTAAAATAAGTTCACTTTTCTAATAGCATTATTAGGAATGAATCTATACCTTCGAAATCACTTAGCATAAGAAGATGGCGAAACAAAATCGACGAAAAATCCCTAGAGGAAAACGTAGTGCCTAGTTGGAAATATTTTGTGTAATTTTTGCTAATTTGAAGTAATTGGGTTGAGTTTATTGCATTAAGTTTTTAAACATCAAAACCAACACAATTCATGATATTTGTTACCTCAAATTCAATTGCAAAGTCACTTACCATCATAATTTTTATAAAAAAAAAAGGCTTCATTAGTCGTTGTAGATCAATACTCAGAATACTCATTC